ATGTTTTACTTAGAGGTGTTTTAAAAATAAAATTTTATTGATAGTTGCTTATTAAAAATTTTTAGTTTTTAAAAAAAATTATCACCGCCATTACTTTCGCCGGAGACTGTACCATTTAAAAAAGATTCTAGAAAAAAAGTTTGTCTCAAATTTTTTTTTCATGGATTCTTTAAATTTGAGTTAAAAATTCCAATAATTTCCGTGTTACAATATTTTCTTTTGATGTAATATGTTCGTTAAACATTTTTATTGTAAAGAATTTTTATTATTAACAAAAAAAGGAAATAAATAATATAAATCAATTTATGTTATAGAAAATATTCTACGAAAAAAATTGTTACAAGAAATTTACTAATCTCCATTTCTTAAGTGTATAATAATAACAAAATTGGAATTTTCAAAATGCCAATTTTTAATTTAAGAAAAAGCTAGCCAATAAGTTTGAAGCTTGAGTCATGAACAACAAAACTTATCAGTTAACTTTTTTAAAATGATATAAAAAATTTTTGCTTTGACATTTTGAAGCTGACCAATTGTTACTATATATAAACAATTAATTGATTATATTAATCAATATGTGTTTTTTTATATTTAAAGACATCATTTAGGATAATAAATAAGTAAAATATCAACTTGTATTTTTATAATAATTAAAGTGCCTGTCACAGAAAACATGTTTTATTTTAAGTGAATCACTCGTGGAGACAATATCTTTTATTAAAATGGGTTTTTTTTTTACTTCAAAGACAAGATATTGTTTATGGTTTAAATTTTGTTGGTACTTTTATATAGTACTTTATAAAGGGTAAAAAGCATGGACTTTACAACACCCATAATTGATTTCTTTCACAATAACAGTAAATAATTTCGCCACTCGTAATTAATTTCGTAATTACGTTTTTGGCAAAAGAATTGCCACCTCATGTATAAATAAAACTCTATAACAAATAAATTTTGACGAAATCTCTTCATTACATTAACTAATAAGGTTATTTTTTTAAAAGGTAAAACAGAAGAAAGTAATTTCTATACTTTAAAATTTGCGCAAAATTTAGAGGGTCCTTGGACTGAACCAACTATACTCATTTTACTTTTCCCCATCCTATGACCTCAGCATTAATGGGTTATATCCAGTCATGAAGGTTCTCACTCCTAATTCAAGAGAAATCATACCACCCCTATTCTCTTCAACACAAAAATTTAGGAGCTTGATTGTCAACCCTGATTTCAAGTGGCACATAACTAAAACTTTACCATCATGATTAATGGTAAGATGAAATACATAAAAAAATTTTTTTTTTTTTGCACGATTTAATATCATTGAGAATAAAAATTTACCTCTTTTTCTCTCTCATTTTCTTGATGGAATGACAATTGACTACATCTTGACTTTTTTAGATCTAAACTCCAATTTGAAAATTTCGAAATCTTTTAATTATTGACTTTTTTAGAAAAGCAAAATTTTAAAAATATAGTAAACTTTAAAAATAATGGTCAGTTGATAGCTTTACTTAATATGACGAAATTTTAATTTATGTCTTTATGCGGATTTTGAGTTTGAGGATTTGCGATGATTGATATTAGAAATTTTCTTTTCAAAAATAATCGAATTTTTATATACGGCCGCCTCTCTATTTGCATACCGTATGATCTGCTTATTGCATAGATAGCTTGGTCCATATTGATATTTGCATAATGTAATCAAGCATGCATATGATACTGGTCTGATTCTATCAACGTTATATTAGTATGTGCATTATTATTTAGGAAAAGATTTGCAAGTGATTTAAAAATATTCAGTTAATATAGTATTAGTATAGTTGGCTCGATCAAGTAGAGTTAATTTCTGTCCTACATTGGTTGATATAATAGGTCTTTATTTATATTATAATGTCAAAAAATTTATTTGTTGTAGTCTATCACTATTACTATAATTTTTGAGCGCTAGCCATTGTCAAATTTAGATTAGTGTGTAAAAATCATTAATAAATTTTGCAATAAGAATATCACGTGAAGTCCGTTTTTGGAAATACCCTTTAAAAATTTTTATTGCATTTTCGAACAAATCAAGAAATAGCTATTTTTGAAATTTGAGCGATAGGGGTCTTTAGTATAGTCTTTTTCATAGTACATTATTTAGTTTTTTAAGCTCACCTGAACACTCCAGATTGCTTTTTTAATAACGCAGTTCGTTGCTTAACGTAATCTTTTCATTATTAAATGTATAAATGTAATAGTAATAAAGTTCAAAGATTGTAATTTTTATAATCAAGCCATATATGTATAATACGCGTCACATGATTATATATTGAGTAACCACGTGATGGCAGTAATCCTTTTAAGTGTGTAACACGATAATTTTTTTACAATAATCTTTGACCAATTCTGTGTAAAGAGTTAAAAGAAAGATGCCTTGACAGTTTAAGAAAAATGATTTACAAAGGTTTATTTTAATTAAAATAATATGGCGTGAATTTTATTTATAAAATGTAGAAATGCACCCCGCAGATCATTAATTAAACTCGCCTAGAAAATATAAGCGCACGGCTTATATAATATTAGTTATATGTTATATAATCAATTAATTATTAATATTATTAATATTATTAATTAAAATGATTATTTTTCATTTCTTCCCATTTTTCTATCTTTGGTTGTATTTACCTCATTCCTTCCTTCTCCTCATTCATTCATTTTTTTTTTCTTGTTAACATCAATTTCCAATCATTTAGATTATTAATTGTAACAATGGGGGCAAAACCTTCATCACTAGGAAAACGAAAAAATAAAGAAAAAGCAGTCACAAATTCAAATCAGCAATCATCATCAGAAACGATGATATCTTATTATGAAAATCGTAAATATTTAGTTTGCACAGAAGAAATCACTGATATTCTTCCAGTTGATGATGATGATGAATTCGCAAGAACAAACACAATTCATTTCTTGCACAAAAAAATTTGGGATGAAACTAATTTTTCAGCACCGATTACAAAACAATTGGAGAATGGATATGGTTTTGATGTGCTGGATGTTGGGTGAGTTTAAATAAAAATTTATTTTTTTATGTAATTAATTAATTAATTGAATCATTATTAATTAGTGATTTTTTATTTCAAAGTTGTGGAAGTGGCACATGGACATTAGATATGGCTACAACATACCCAAATGCTAATTTTTTGGCTGTTGATATTCTTCAAACATTTCCAAATGAAATTAGACCTAATAATGTAAATTTTTTGCTGGGAAATATAATCACTGGATTAAATATTAAATCAAATACATTTGATTATGTGTTTATGAGATATATGAAAACCTCCATACAAATAAATGATTGGTCAAAAGCTATAGGTGAAATGATAAGGGTGGCAAAACCAAATGGATGGTTAGAATTAATAGAAATGGATGATATGTTCACAAATGGATCTCCTGAATGCTTGGAGCTTATGGATAAAGGTATTTTTCATTTTTATGAATATATCCATAATAAATCTTAAACTTAATTTATATTTAATTTATAAAATTTTTTTTCCCAGTTGAAAAAAGATTAAAAAATAAATATAACCTAACCAACAGCCCATTTAAACTCATAAATAATATCTTGTTAAAAGAATATTTTAACATTATAACTGATGTACAATTTTTTAAAAAAACAATCCCAATGTCAGGACATTGGGATAATGATTCAGATAATATCATTGCTAAAGTTTCTTATGATACTGCATATTGGGGAAGTAAGAGTTATAAACATTCACTTGATTGTTTAGATTTAACTCATGATGAATATGATAAATATGTTGAAAAGGCCTTTGAAAGTATTAAAAATCGTAGATGCACATATTCACTTTGCAGATCAATTGCAAGAAAAATTTAAAAAAAATAATCATTAAATTATATGCAACTATTAATTTATTAATATTAACTAATAATTTTATATGTAACTATAATTAAATTCATTATTTTTTATAGAGGAAAAAAAAATTAGTAAATTTTCATCAAAAAATATCACTATGTTTAACTATTGATCAGAATGTTACATAAACATTTTGGGCTCAATCATAACTATAATGAGCAGAGCATCGATACTACATTATCACAAACAAGTAAATCACAAGCTCATGACATGTCCAATAAGTATAATGAAATGATAAATAACCAAATAATTATATAGTTATTCTTCCCTAGCATACAGCTCAAGGATTTCAATCTAGTTCCAATAATAACAATGCAGTAGGTCGCAGTATATATATACTGCGACCTACTTGCGTTAGACTGTTACATACTTATGACTAGACTGTTACATACTTATGACTAAACTGTTACCTACTCATTTATGGGTACCCGTTTTGGCGTCTAGTTGGCTTGATATTTGTTTCCTTTTGATGAGGTTTTTGGCTTTTTTTGGTCCTTTGATTGCTTTCGTCACCCGAGGCTGAGGCACGAAGTTCCGATTGTGAGGGCTATGCCCGAACTGGATGCAAAGCATCCTGGCCAATTTCTGTCGTCAGGCCACATTCCCATTTTATCATAACACTGGTAAAGTTTGTGGTAAACCTTGTATGCGACCTGAAGGTTGTAATACTCATTGGAAAGCAAAAAAGACGAGTTCCATGCACTGATTGTGGCAAGCCTACTAGCTCAACTTCTGGCCACATGTCGAAAAAATCAGTCTCTGCGATTTCAGTCTCCGCCATGTAACATTTGTGGCCATCGTCCACATGTGTGGACGGTCATCTATAAGTATCACTCCAGGAAAATGCTTTAGAGATGGTTTCTGATATGCGAAAAAGTTATTGACTGGAATTTTTCGGTTAGATTTAGGTGTATATCAGGAACTTGATCTGAGCCGTTTTATCCAAGGACATTTTTTCAGGAAAATGCTTATTTTTGCTTTTATGATGAGGGATGAGGCACGTAGTGCCGAATTGGCAATCTGTATTTTGGCTTTGCATGTCACATTTGAGTTCGAGGATGAGGCACGAAGTGCCGAAATAGTGTCCATGATCTGGCTTTGCATGTCACATTCAAATTCGAGGATGAGGCACGAAGTGCCGAAATAGTATTCATGATCTGGCTTTGCATGATGCATTCGATTACTGATCGAGGGTGAGGCACAAAGTGCCGAATTGTTATCTCACTTGGTAGTACGCCAAAGCATAATTTCTATAATATATATTTCTATAATAATTATACCTTGACGTACTACCACGAGTATGCTATGTTTTGGGTCTCTGGAAGCCTTTCTCGTGTAGTTGGTGCTTTGGAGTATTACCTCTCCATGTAAAAAATCATCCTATGCTTTGTCGTTTTACTATCGAAAAATTGGATCATACTTTTACGTACTACTGAATCAAAAAATTGGATACCTTTGCGTATTACTGGATCAAAAATTTTGATCTTTGGTGTACTACCGAAAAATTTCACGCTTTTGCGCCATAATTCCATCACATGAATTTTTACTTAAAGTTTTGAATTCTCTATATATGTAATTTATACCTCTTTGTTCCACACACTTACCTAGTTATAAAGAGTCTATAACATGCATTCGTATAATCCACTTCTGCTTCCGGATACGATCACAATAATCGTTCAAAAACTCCCATTGGTTAGTCTTAGCATAGCTTTATGCATTAATCATATTTGGAATAAGGAAGTGAAACTTGAATTGCATATGAGGCACGAAAAGTTTAAAAATCAATATTGGAAAACAGTGTCAGTAAGATATATGGAGATACAGCTTAAAGAACAATGTTGGGAAGAAGAGGGTAGGCGATTTAGCAACTGCATGGATACTGATGACTATAAAAAACACAACAACAAAATGAGATTTTTAGATGAGAAATGTAATGAATTCTTCTATAAACTAGTAGAAGTAGAAAGATGCATGTTACGAAATAAATTAATCAGAAGAAGAGAAAGAGGCAATGTATTAAAACGTATTAAACATGTTAATAGTGAGGACTGGTTGCATCCCTGGTCGCTATATGAAATAGAGGAAATGTTTGGTAGGGATTATGAACTTAATATACTTTTCGATGAGACAGAGATTTGAAGTTCATTGTAGAATCAAAACTTTTTAGATTCAAATAGGGAATAAATTCTCAGCTACTTGATCCATGTATAATCCCGGTTTCACTTTTTTTATTCAAAAAATTTATCACGCTTTTGTGTCCTACCACATCGAAAAATTTATCGTGCTTTGTAAATGACTCTAAATAATTACTCATTCTCTTCGTCAGACCATTCACTATCTGAATCAGACCATTCGCTATCCAAATCAGGACATTTGACTTCGATGTTTGGATTAAGTCTTTCTATTGCCTCCCTGCTAATACATTTACATCCCTCCAAACCAAGATATTTTAAATTGATACATTTGCGGGCGATTTCCTTAATAGCTCTATTACCAATTATACATTGATCAAGTTCAAGGTGTTTAAGTTTTGGGCATGAACGTACAAGGTCTCGAATTCCCAAATCAGTAACATGTCCACAATCATAGATATCAAGATGTTCTAGTTTATGACATGAGTTTGCTATTTCTTTGATAGTATTATCGGTAATACTACTACAATCGAATAAACATAAATACCTAAGATTTTTACATGAGTGCGCAATAATACGTACTGTAGATTCACTAATTAGACGGAACAAGCCAAGGTCAAGATGTTGTAAATTATGACATGAACATGCAATTGCTCTGATAGCAGTGTCGCTAATATAGCATTCAAAAAGATCTAGTCTTAATAGATTCGGATATTCATGAGCAATATTAATAATTGCAGTATCACTGATAGCTAGCCTACCTATAGCATTGAAATTTAGATACACTATATTTGGACATGATTGAATAATTCCATTGATTTTATTATCTGACAAACTATCGCAATATGAAAAAATAAGATTCCTTACGCTTGATCCATGGAATGGTTTCAAATTTTCACATATCTCTATAAACTTTGCTTGTCGCATATAATCCAATTCAATATGCTTACATAGGATTTGTCCTGCGATGCAATACCAAAACCAGTTAACATATAAGGTAGGATAAAGAGCTTTGTCATTTGCTAGATATTGTAAGATTGGATCTAAAAAGTCTACTAATTCGAAAAGCTTAGATTGCATTTTTTCGTGCTTTTATTTTCTGTATACAAAGCTATTTACTCAACACAAAACCTTCATTAGAATTCACATTTAAAATTGTCCGAGTTGACTAGATTATATTAGCTAATTATGGAAGAAGTTTCTCAAGGAATATACATACCTGCACATGGCCCTCCGGAAATAAAACAAGTTAATGTTAAAAAAGGAGACATTTGTAAGATACTGCAAAGTGATTATAGTGATCACGTAACAATCTTCGGACCAAAAGGCTTTGATTTGATTTTATTTTGTGACGATGATGGTCAGAGCAAATGCCTACCTGTAAATCCGCTAGCAACTCGTTTGATAAGTCAACGAATAGGGCAAGATGGAATAGTTATTCCAGGACCTGCTTTATTATTAGACGATTATAGAAAATTAACTCTTGATGATTTGCGCTTTTTGTTAAAAGAACCATTTGATATAGAGGAGGAAAAAAAAGCTGTAAAAATGATGAATGATGCGCTTAAGGATCTAACATCGCGTGGCATAAATCACACTATAATAATGTAATCTATATATTAATGATACAATAGAGTATGAGCTGTATCTTTTTTCCTTGCATCTCGTATAGGCTTAATTACCACGAACCATATAACTGCAAGTATCAAAAAAGCAAGAACTGCATACATAAACTTAGGTGAGAATAGATTACTTCATACAATAGGTATTATTCCAACAGGCAATATCTTGGCCATTTCTGTTTTAATTGTGTGGCTTTGATCATTTCCAGGCCCTTCAGGGGCAACTCTGCGAGTTATGAAATTGGTTTTAGAAACGGTATCTTCTGAAAAATCTTTAATCTCTACTATTTGTGAGGTATCAACATGGCTACCTTCACTGATAGAAGACTTCATATTAGTTGATCTTGAAGAATCAGGTATTTGAGGTTTTGCTTCATTGTTGGCCTTGATTACAGTATCACTAGACTTGGGAGTATCAATTTTTTCTGTCTGATCCATATTATTTCTACGTTTTAAAAACTTACTAAAATCTGGCTTAGGTTTATCAACTGCAGAGATAACATCGGAATTTGCAATATTTTTCTTTAGTAAATCTAAAGGTTCCACTATTGCAGAAGAAATGAGACTCAGCCCCTCGCCACCTCCACTAATTGCTTCTCCCAATGGTAAAACCCGAGATATATCATCTGATTTTAAACGCTCCAGCTCGCTAACTTTTAAGGATAATTCATCTTTCATTTGCTCCAATTCAGCTAATTTAGATTTGAGGAACAAGACCTCAGATGAATCGGAGATTCGAAGCTTTGTTTCCTCTTTCATGGATGAGTTTTTCTGAGCTGAAGTCAGGTTACCTCCCCAATTTCTTTACCTTAGTTTGGAGTGATTTTGCTTCTTTTGATTTTTCCGATAAAGCATTTTGTATATCATGCAACTTGATATTATAATCATTCATTGCAATCTGCTGGTGGTTATTTTGCGATTTGTGAACAGATATTTCTTTCCTCAATCGCTTGATTTCAGATATAAGTTGTAGAGCATGGGTGCGAATTTGTTGAATATCTGTATCAGCCTGTTTCAGATTGCGTTGTAATTGAGCATTCTCCTGTTTGATATTTTTACTAAACTTTGAATATACCACCTGGAGATTTTTGAAATCATCAATGAGCTCAGAATTGGTCTTACTACTAACACGTAATGCATCCTCGAGTTCTTGTTCACGGACACTTCCAAGCCTATACCCCTGCCCTTGTATTTGTTTGGATTCCATACTTTTGGTATCTCGCAATGTACGCACATTGGCCATATGATTTTTCTCATATATTCCAAAAAATAAATGCTAAGAAATAGATATATTACTAATATTATCGATATTATTGATATTACTGATATTACCAATATTACCAATATTACTGATATTATGAAAGAATTATTACTGATAATTTTTTTTTATATTATTGATATTATTGATATTACCGATATTACTGATAATACGAATAATTTTTTATATTTTTGATATTATCAAGACCATGCGATCTGATGCAGTCAGGCTATCATCAGAAGACTATGATTATATTATGCAATATAAAGATGCAAAATCCAAACCTCTAGATATGCTTAGAGACAAATATCCTATGTCAAATAGCCGTTTTTATCGGATATGGAAAGGGAAAGAGGTTTGTATAAACACTTGGAATTCATCTTTGGCCAATCCAGGAAACGATATTCCAATATCTGTAGTTGTGGGAGAGAAAAAAAAGAGGAAATCAAAATCCAAGTCTACTCGCATTTCTGATCAGCCTTTTATTAATAAAGATCTAGATGCGGTAACATCCTCACTCTGTGAGACAGAAAAGATAGGCAGAATTTCAGAAGCAAAAAAAGAAACTACACCACCTGTTACCTCGCAAGGGACTGAAGATGTTCTGGAATTACATAAGAGAAACCAAAAAGATATAGAAAAGATTAGAGCAAGTGGTCGTACTCTTGCCTCTAAATTATCTGTTCCTTAGATTTGTAATTTATATCGATCACACAAATCGTTATAATACCCAATTACTTCAGAAACTGATTGAATACTGGCGAATAATGCTTTTTCAAGTTCTTTTTCATGGTCTGACTTATTCTCGCAATTCATGCATTTTTTTTTAACTCTGTATCTGGCTCTTCAGAAATAGAAGGAATTGCATCAACATGGTGTACCTCAAGCTCATTTTCAACTCTATGCATAGTAACTGGGATGATAAAATCTTCCATTGCAATGAAGCTTCATTTCGGATTTAGCCCAATCCATCGCACAATCGTGTTTTTTAAGGAAGGGGTTGCTCAATAACAGCATAGTCTTTGGGTAATCAATAACTGCGAAATCTAAATAAAATACACAACCAGGAGCTAGGGTTAATGGTACGTTATAAACCATTCCAATAGATTTGGTTAGGACAGTGGCCGCCCCCTTGAAATAAAACGTTGTACTTTTATCAATTTTTAAACCCAAGCGCTCAGCAATGTCCCTAGACATAAGTAAAGTATTTGAGCAAGAATCAACTAAAATTGCCGAGAGTACTAAACGTTTGATTTTACCCCGCACAGTCGCAATATCTATCACATCTTTATCCTGGACAAAGTTAATTTCCATATCTTCGATAACTTCTTCATCCTCGGTATCTTTGCTTTGTTGAGAAGTATCATTTGTGGTACTAGATTTCTGAAAATTTCGTAAGATTTTACTTATAGCCTCCTCTAATAAAGCGGAATTTACAAGCTCACTTTGAATAATTTCACGCATTCGTCTCTCTAGTAAAGTTGAAGTGGGATTTTGTACTCGAGGAGAAACTTGAATCTCCTTACCCTCTGAAGAATATGCATCTTTCTTGCCTTTGGATCGGGATTGTTTATCGGATGTCTTCTTAATGAGTACTCTAGGTCTATCTACTTTTTTTTAATTCTGGATACATTAACATTGGATTCCTCATCAGGTACATCATCATCAATTTCATCATTGCCTTCTTGATCAGAGATAGCAGATTCATCAGGAATTTCTTCTGTATCAGAGTGGCTTTGTTGGAACCCATCGGCGAAATTCACACGACCAGTTCTTTTCCTAGAGTTAGAAATCATATTCTTAATTACGGGCAACTACAATAAGTGTGGCCCAGCTTTTTACAAATTTCGCATTTACGTTGGATTGGTCTAGTATTTACTCTAGGGGTTCTGACCATGTTTATTGATGAATTCGGGGAGCTGGGCAATCCTTCAGGTTGATCTAATTTATTTGCAAGGTTGATAATTGCGTAATCAATTTCCATCGGTTCTAGTACTCTGTTATCTTCAACTTCGAGACCCATTTCCGCATAATTCTTTAACTCTTCATAGTACTTGGCTTTCTCAGTTTTGGGGAGGAAATTGCGTTGAAATGGCTGTGGTCCCGTTTACTTCGTCGAAAATTATTTCGTCAAAAATTATTTCATCGACAATCACTTCGTCGACAATCACTTCGTCGACAATCATTTCGTCGAAAGTTCATTTCGTCGAAAGTTCATTTTGCCGAAAGTTCATTTTGCCGAAAGTTTATTTTGCCGAAAGTTCATTTCGTCGAAAGTTCATTTTGTCAAAATTATTTCGTCGACAGTTCATTTCGTCGAAAATTATTTCGTCGGCTTATGTATCGTACTAATGATAAATGAGGTGATGATAGTGATGGCAACAGTATTGACATTGAATATTTTAGTATTGGTAATAATTATTGTTTTTTAGTAGAGTGTGTGTATCAGACAAATTGGTAATATTCCTTTCATGATACATAAATTTGAGTTATTCGTATACTTGCAAACTAATTAGCACTCTGATTTTACCTGAATTTTCTGAATTCAATCAGGAATGTATAATATCTAATTACAATCATACAAATGTAAATTATACTAATAATAAATAAATTAAATGGTTACGCTAAATCATTAAATCGAAAATTAGTTTTTGAAATTATTAAAATCGTATGATTACATGGGTCTGACAATCAAGTAAGGTTTCTAGCCCAAGCTGTTTCTCAAAATTCAAACTATTTTGTCGAGTTGGGTTTTTCAACATTTTTTATACAGAGGTAGGTATATTAGACCAGAAACCAAGCCATCAGACGAATTTTTTTGTACTTTAATTACAAAAGTATAATAATAATATCGTGTTAAATAAAAATTTTTGTCAATTTTTGGCTAGCATCATAATTATGCATGCTCTATAACTTGTTTTTTAAAAAAACAATAATAATAAATTTTTTTTTGTTACATGCATTATTTATTTGATAATTTTAGTATTTAATTTTAAAATCAAATTGGTTATTGTTACCAATCACTTGCTAACTTGAAAAAGTATACAATATATCTGATTTTATTTAAACAATTAGAAATGTGTGTTTTGTTTGTTGTACATCAAGTTTTTTTTTCTTCCTTTATTCAATTGACAAAATAATCAAAATAGGCTTCGGGTCATTTTTAATTTCTAAAATTTTTGCACATTTTTAATTTGTAATATAAGGAATTTATAAAATATTCCGATCAATACTATTCGTATGAATTATTTGTATTTGTATTCGTGTTACGTTTTGTCATATTTATTAATTATTAATTATTTCATAATGCGATATTTAACGTAAGAAAACGACTAAATTAAACTTTGAGTAATGTTGAACCAACAACGGGATGATATGACAACAATGGAAAATTTACTAGAACATTCAAAAAAATCATTTTTTGTTTTATTAAATAAATTTGTCTCTTAAATTGGTCACGTTTACTTCATCAACAATCATTTCGTGTTATATCAAGGTAGTTTCGAAGTTATATCGAGAGATATGGTCAAGAGAAGAGTTAGAAAGAGAGTTGTCCTTTGACCAAGTCGAAAACCAACCCTTTAAATACATCTTCAAGTAGCACAATTTAATTTATTAAACTAATTTCTTCGACATTTTGTTTAGATCGTCAAGTACATTTCTTCCTTCCTATATACATATGTAAATGATTATAGTGATGTTATTAAATATAAGTTAAATAAAGGATAAAT